ATCGGACCTTCACGGTCACCTTATCTCAACAATTGATTTTGTCATCTAAATATTATGACACAATTTTAAATACAATTTGTCCTTCGCATTACATACTACAATGAAGTTTTTAACACGTGAGAACATTTATTGTGTGGAACAGAAAAAGATATTTTTTGTAGTTATCAACGGATAGACGTAGCGGCTTGATTAAACTTCATCCATTGTAGCCAGCACTTGCTCAGACAAGCAGGCCTTTAATAAACTCCCGCTTGCTGCATTCCGACATCTTGATTTGCAGTCGTCGGAAAGCGCAAACCGGTCTATACAAATAAAAAAACATTTAGGAAAAGACTAAGAAATAAAGAACCAATAGCATTAAAAATTGTTTACAAATAACAACAGAAACCAATGTATCACAACATGACTTCAAAAATAAAAATCCATGTATAAACACAATAAAGTCGTAGTCTACAAATTACAATTAAATGAGGAGCACAAAAACATACTTTGAATGGTAATATTATTTTCTACATTGATAAAAAGTGCTTAGCTTTTGCTCGAGAAATTATAAATTCAAGAATACGCCGACACCACCACCATTATATTCGAAAATTTAAACCGTTAACATATTGCATCGCACAAGAAGTTCCAAGAAGTGCCAGTAGTTGTTACGACATTTCCGTTATTCGACATCACTGGGCGGCAATTATACGATTCGATGTCGTTGACACAACTTGACAAAACACGAAACAAAGGATATAAAAGTCTCACGTCTGCACGTTAAAACATTGACTAAACAGCATTTATAGTTTATAATTAATTTTGTTTAGCTTTCAGAATCTATTAGGATTTATTAGGAATCTATTAGGCAAGGGTTTCTTTAATTATGCTACATTTCAATACGAATAAATAATGAGGATGCGTTAAATAAAAACTAAACACACACATATTTTTCCATATCATTGGACATGAAAATGCGTTATTAATGTAAGTCAGTCCACGATACACGTTTTAATTTGATAGAAGACAACACGCTGTGTAATTTATTGTTTAAATGAATAATTATAATTTATATAAATATTTTTTTATCATAATTTATAAAATAAACATTTTCCAAATATTCCTTTTTATTTATTATTATTTATATTTATTATTTAGCCCGCCTGAAAAATAGCATCTTTTTACTTTACGTGGCATTCCAACGCATAACGGCCGGAATGCCAGGTACTAACAATTGACTATTACATTTGATACGGTTTATCAGTTTCACCAACTTTCAACTAATCGATTTCTAGAGCTTAACCAGATTTACCTTAACATCCCATAGGGCATTTCAACGATAGCCGGCAATATTTATCCCGTTTCCTGCAGATTATTCGTTAACAGATACACAGACAGCCTACAGCCAGGACAGGGATAAGGTTATAGCCGCAATACGATTCAATATTTCGCAACATGCACTGTCCAAATCGCCTTTGAAAATAAAACGAGAAATTCACAATTAAGCTTAACGTTTCGAAACAAAATTGTAACATTCGTTGACCGTGATGATTAAATGAACATTTTCATTGCATTAACCAAACGTATTAACAAAATTGCTTGTGTGTATTTTTGATGTTTTTACAGTCAATGGAATATAAAACATTATTTAAGATTTAAAGTAGTTAATGTGGGAAACTAATGACTAAACTAAGCAACGCCTGTATTTTAGGCCATCAGGTTCCTGTTATAAATATCACTAAATTGTATAAAGCAAAGTCGTCCCGCTGTCTGTTTGTCCCTTATATGCTTAGATCTTTTAAACTACGCAACGGATCTTGATGCGGAAGATAGAGTGATTCATGAGGAAGGTTTATAAACCAATGTATAATAAACCATGCGAAGCCGGGGCAGATCGCTAGTGGACTATAAATCAATCACAATTTTCCAAAATATTGGTATAAAATGCCTGTACATGTCCAACTGCCCAAGGCCTCCTGTGTACAGGGTATCAGGGGATAGTACATCACGCGGCCCCACTGCGGATTGACTGACTTCACATATCTTCGAAATATTTTTTTTTTTGTTTTGCAGGTTTCCTCACGATGTTTTCCTTCACCCCCAAGCACGTGATAATTCAGCACTTAAAATTGAAAATTTCATTGGTGCTGGCACCGGGGATCGAACTCAGGTTGCTCGAATATATCAAAATACCTGGAGGAACGAGCTTTGCTCGTTTTTTGTTTTTGGTAAATAGTGTATTTTGGATTTTGTAAAAAAAATAAAAAATAAAGAAAGCTTTAGAATAAAAAGTTAAAAAAATAAGTGTGTAAATAATCGTGACACGAACCGCGGACTTCTGTTTCGGGGCCGCCCGATTACCGACCGAACTAACATTTTTTTCGGCGAAATTTACCGTCATATTCGAATGATATTTTTCATTCACTGAAAACAGGGATAAAAGGACATTTTCTAAAAAAGAAATCTAGCTAAATCGATTTTTTGCCCCCGAATCTACGCACATACAAAATATTATGAAAATCGCTGGAGCCGTTATATGTATATATATATATATATACATATAACACGTAAAATATATACGTATATATATATATATATATATATATATATATATATATATATATATATATATATATATATATACAAGAATTGCTCGTTTATAGGTATTAGATAGATAGATTAAAGGCGACCGTCCGGACACAGAGCTATCACGGTAATATAGGTATGTTTATTAATAATGTAATGCAATATTATGCAAATTAACAACACAAAAACTAAGGCAAATTAAACTTCATAAAACTTTGTAATAAAAGCCAAGGTAATGAGCAAGGGCAATATGTCACGAGATCTGGAAAAGAAGTAGGTACAACACTTCGGAAACTTCATTGGAAATTATATAAAAATAATTATTTGTCATGGGGTGATTGAAAACATTTAACTAAACTTATTTGTTTTAATTTTAAATACTCGAGCAATCTGAGATCAACTCTTAATGCCAACCAATGAAATTGTTAATTGCAAGAGTAAGTGCCGACTTATGACGTGCTCAGTGATGAAGGTAAACATCGCGAGGAGACAAATAATAAGAAACAGTAAGAAAAATACATTTCGAAAATATGTGAAGTCTGCCAATCCGCAGTGGGGTACCATGGTGGACTGTGCCCAAATACCCTCCATACATAAGACGTCTTTCCCCAGCGGGGGGACATATATCGGCTATTAAAATTTGAAATTATTTTTGTGGTTTGTGGAGACCTTCAAGCATATGTTTATTATTTCACATCCATGGAACACCCACACAGTGATGTCATCTCATACATGTATCCCACATAAGCCGGATAATCCATCTGTGCAGGCATCATATAGGGAAATCCGTTTTCTTGACAAAACTATTTATATAAGTGCTCGTATCCTAAGAGGTTTACGTATAACAAATATATAATATATCTACAGATTACTGTTGTATTTTTACATTACTGGTATTAAGATATGTAATAATTTACCCATATCAATAAAATCACTTGATGGTCTGTAGTTTAAAACTAAAGTAAAAGAATGGGTGACATGTAATTGATTTTATAATTTGAATTAATATTATTGTATAACCGAATAATACCTTAGTTATATTATTTACATTTCTCTTATTGTACGCCCGAAATGGGCAGACTGTCGACACAAACAATTATGTAACATGTAGCACATTATAAACAGTTAAGACAATGATTATCGTATCTTATCTTATGTATATAGGCTCCGAAATTAATTTATTATCCCCATTAAAAAGGGTTACATAAAAGAGTGCAAGTAGAAAGGGCCCTAATCTTTCCAAAACCTCAAACTTTTCGAGTAAAACATTAGTAATTCCCTTAATTAAATACGTTTTAACATTTTTAAAGCTTACCTAACCGGATCTAACATTTTAATGACATAACACAGTGCTCGTGCTACTACTTTGCAGTAGTTTTTGAACTCCTTAATAATTGTACTTTCAATTTCTTCTTTAATTAATGTATATTTTAAAATAATTGAGTATACCGAACCCTCCATATTAGTCGAGCTCGCACTTAACTGTCTTTTATTAGATAATAGCTTGTCGCCGGTGACGGAGATCAGTGACTAGTTAAAAGGACATTGAGCGTCTTATACTTATCGTTAGAATTGTATTGTGCTGTTAACTATCTAACTGTTATTACCAATCTTCGACATGTTGAATTGCGCAACGAAAAGAATAAGATTTAAAATGTTAACTGGACACAACTGACCTCGAAGATAAATTAAAAGTTTTAATACAAAATTATTACAATTCTATTTTCGTTTTATACGATTGGCCGTTATAAAGCTAGTCAAATTTTAGTAACCTATACTATGTAGGCATTTAAATTGACTCGCAAAATATGGTCGACAGTTTTAATCTCAGTATTAGCGCAATTTCAATTAAAGGGTTTTTATATACGATGAAAATTTGACTTGAAACATTGAAGACTGTTGCGTGGTAATTCCACAGATATTAATGAAAATATATCTCGCTCTGTATTCATTTTATAATTGATTTTCACGAGTTCACTAAATATCTCCAGAGCACAACATGCAATACCAATAATATTAATATCGGAGCACATGAGAAGCACCAGCTTTCAAATAAAAAAAATAATCATTAAAATCGTACTGTACTGGCCATCGCAGTGTAGGACGACCCCCCACTAGATGGAGTGACGACCTGTGCAAATGTGCGGGAAGTCGATGGATGCAGGTGGCTCAGGATCGTACTTCGTGGCAGTCTGTGGGGGAGGCCTATGTTCAGCAGTGGACTCAAACAGGCTGAAATGATGATGATGATGATGAAAATCAGTTCATCACTCAGTCCAAAGTTCGGAGGTAACAATCATAAAAAGAAAAGACAGTCGAGTTGAGAACCTCCTTCTTTTTGAAGTCGGTTTAAAAGTCTTGAATGATTGAATCAACTAACGTTATAAGTTATACGGATTATGTTAAAATTGGCCATCGTATTGCTATTCCAGATAACCCTTCCGCGTCTGGCGTTGCTCCTGGCGGCCGCTGCTTCGCTGGCCTCTGCCAGCGTGGTCACGTCGAATAGCGGTGGCAACTTCGAGCTGCTCATCCTCCACAACAACGACATGCACGCGCGCTTCGAGCAGACTTCGCAGCTGAGCGGCGCCTGCACCACCGCCGACAGGGAGGCGGGAAAGTGCTACGGCGGATTTCCGAGAGTCGCTTACGTGTGAGTAAGAAACCGGCCAAGCGCGAGTCGGACCTGCGCACAAAGGGCTCCATATATATATAGAAACGGCAAAAAATCATGTCTGTTTGTCATGTATTTTTTTATTCTACTCTTTAGTATTTGTTGTTATAGCGACATCAGAAATACATTTACAATACATACGGAACCCTAAAAAATCAACGCCATATACTAAATTTCTTTATTTTCTTAATTAACGCACGTCTCAAGTACTTGTGGAAGTAAAAACTAGCTTTTTACATCAACTTACTATGCCCTATCTCGCCCTGGTCTACGAAACCAATATAACAAGTACACAAGATACACTTGCGTTCCAGTGTGGTTCTCACCGCCGCTACTCATCGTTTAATATAGTCAATGGACATCGGGTAACGATCCGTACCGAATCTCGATGGCCAGTAGGAAACATATTTCCCGTTTAAGATAACGCACGTGGGCCAAATTTGTTCTTACTATCCTTCGAATGCTACTGCCGATGAAGTTTTATTAGTCAACGACCTAAAAACAATAAAATCAGTTAAAATACATAGCTAAAACCGACAAGTCCTATAAAAAAGTATTTTAATTATATTGTAACGTAGTAGCGCTGATCCATTAAGCCGTTTGGACGTGGAAACGGAACAAATACAAATTTACGTATTAGTGTCGTTTGATATTTCTTTTGGAACTTCATAACTTCGCCGAATGAATTATACGACAGATGAATTATAAGAAACCACAGTAAATGGCAATGTGCCACGGCAAAATAATTCTCAATATATAAACAATACTAACAATACTTTCGCTTTTTTTATGTAATCTATCTATCGCTATCGCGATGTGGGTAATACTTCTGCCCCGAGTTACTAACTGTTTATCACATTATCGCAGTTTCAATCACTTTAGTATCGATAGGATTAAATATTAAATTATTCATGTTTATATCATATTTACTAGTTATGATTATATTTCTTGAGGTCTAGTACGCAATTAGTTGCCAGGAAGAGATTGCTATGAAGCTAAGCCGCCAAATTGTGCATTGTATAAATTTGTTTGTCTATTGTTAATTTTGTGTATCTTTTTTTTATATGTAGTGGACACTAAAGTATTCATTCATTCATTCTGTTCACATGATTATCAAACAAAAACGAAACATTGTGTGCTTATTCCAAATTTCATCTGCAGTACATAAGCCACAACACTATTCCAAACAAAGCCCACTTTATTGCAAATTGGAACAGCCAACGCCGATCAAGTTACAATTTAGCCACGGAAAATTGCGCCATTCTGAGCTTTTGTTTTTCTCGTACACTTTCTATGGCGAAAAAAATGGCAAAACTGTTTTATTTACTTTTGTTTAATTTATTTTTATCAATGTACAATTAATTATGCTCATCATCTTTTATGACATAGTTTTTAAACTTTTCCGTTTAATTGTTTAACGATAAGCTTTATAGTGATTCCGATAACAATAAATACTATATTTTCTCAATTATACTTGTTAACACAAACGTGACATATTCAAACATAATATTTTTCTTTGAGGGTTCTTACGGTGGTCTTTTAGGATAAACAGAATGGAAAGCAATCAAGGACATATTATAGATATGAGCCTCAATTTATCTAATTGAAATAGCAATGAACATAATTAGGTCTCCTTATATCGCTTATCGAATTTTCTCGGCATTAGGACCCGGAAAAGCAAGACTGCCGCTGAACATCGCACATTTTCCCGTTTGCGAGTTACATTTTGAATGTAATCCACAGAATCCTCTTTGGCCCTTACCTATACCAATCCAATTTACTCCAGTCCCTAATTATTGGCCGACACGAGTTCCCTCTCTCCATAAGGAAATCAAATCAATCAATCAGTGGCGAAACGGATGCGAAATGCCGGCGAATTTAACGTGTTTCTGTCTAAAATCTTGAATAAGATTTATCTAAGCGTACCGAAGCTTTCACTAAGCTTTAGCTACTAAGCATTAACCATGCGGAGGTCATAATTTTATCCATAAAGATAAAATTACATTCAGGCTTGATAATGTCTACCAAATAATTTAAAAACTCAATAAATTTCAATTGCTGAGCAAGTAAGAGTAGTTGGATGAAAATACAGAGGATGAAGAAAGGAGACCAGACGTTGATCTGAAAGATTGTTTAATCAATAAAAAAATCTGTGAATCTATTTGTGTATTTATGCTAATGTGGTGCTGTTTCAATTAAACTGATCCACTAAGAAAAGTCAAAATAAGTTGGAATGAAAACATCACTTGACGACGAATGAATCTTTCTTGTCTTATAATCATTCTAAGTGTGATATTTATTATTTACTAATAATTGATATGCCATATAACAGAAAAACATTCACAACCAACAGCTAGTAATGAATAGAGTAGAAAGGGAAAACAAGTTACATATAAATATTTATATAATTTTCTTTTCATTAGTTCTTTTGCCTTAACTTGTTACAATTTCCAATAAATTTATAATAATTAACATTTACAAGCGTATATATTTCAATTTAGGTGAAGAAGCAAATATGTATAAAAAAAATAAACGGTGATATTTGGATCAAACAATTCAATTCTTAGACTTCTGTTTCATTTGTTTTTAATTTTTTTAGTTAATAAATTAATATGTATTGGATGGGCCACTGTGTATTTATGACATTACTAAAGTCTTTTCTTTTTTAAATATAATTTTTATGTTGTGTTCTGACATAAAAGTCACTAATGAGTTGCGGTCAGTTTTTATGCATTAATGGTAATTTTCAGAAATCCTCGAAAATTCAACTTTAAATGTATTTCCTTTTATTATTAATTTTAGGACCAACAATTATAAATTTATTGTTCTAATTATACTGCGATTTTTTCTCCAAGAATATGTACCAAGTGTTTTGCCCGCCATGGAGGTCTACAACACCGGTTGCAAGTGTAAAGTAAATTGTAACCCAGTTAAATCCCTCAGCGGAAAGGTCTTCTGTGAGGCCGTGGTACTTCCCGAGGACTTTTATTACCACGGCCTCGAGACTGGTCATTCGTGCAACAAACTGTTGCGTGGCCCTATCGCAGTCAATTGCACTTACTACTATACTCTTTAATATACTTAATAATTCTAGTCGCGCAGACTATTTTGTTATATCACGTAGTTGGGTTTTTTGCTCAGTCCAATCTTGCTACAGCTGGGATAGTTCAGTTCAGAATATTATCGAATGCAAAATAAAGCACAACCATCTGTTTGTGCAGTTGTACCCGAAATTGAAGTTAAGAGGCTCTCAGCGGAAAAAAACAAAAACAAAACAAAAGTTTAACGCTATCCACAGGCTTTCGTTGGGAATCAAACCTACGTCTTCGAGATTCGCGCCCTGATGCTTTAACCACTAAGATATGATTACCACATCGGCGAAAATCTTAACGTCTTCTATTTAAATCGATTTTTAGCATTATTTCAAGCAAAGCTTGGCGCATCCATTATAATATCTGTTTATTTATTATTTATTATCTATTAATTGTTTTACAACGATAATTCAAACGAGAGATGTCCCAATTGCTTTTTTAAGAAATTAAAATGGTTATAGTGCTAATCTCTGAACTTAATTAGGTCATCAATGGCAACTCTTAAAATTTGTAGAAAAAGTACGAAAAGTCTTTGCTTATTAACATCGAAAACTTTACAATTTTATTTTGATAACATTGTTATCAAATTTGATTCAAATTATTGATAATTAATTGATAATTGCACGTTTGTAACACTACTTCGTTGCCGTAAAGTATTTTCATACATATAACGACGATTATAGAGGGAACAAAGTCCACACAGACGCATGCTTAAAACACAGAAATTGATTTTTATAATATAATCACATACTAAATATAACATGATATAAATAAAATAAAATGTAATAGCTCTACAGTTGAAGAGATATAGGTAGAGGTTCTTAATCTAAATTGACTTGTATTTGTATTTTTTCACAACGTATCGTAACAGCCTATGTATGTCCCACTGCTGGCAAAGGCCTCCTCTGTTCAGAGGAATAGTCCACCACGCGACCCCACTGCGGATTGGCGGACATCATAACATGATATAAATAAAATAAAATGTAATAGCTCTACAGTTGAAGAGATATAGGTAGAGGTTCTTAATCAGTAATCTGAAGTTAAAGTCAGCCAACAGGCTTCTCAGTGAGCACAAATACGAGACGTGCTTAAATCAAAAATTGACTTGTATTTGTATTTTTTCACAACGTATCGTAACAGCCTATGTATGTCCCTGATCGTTTGTCTGTAAATGAAAGATATTTGAGATAAACTATTATTCTTCGGGCTTTGCTTTCTCTCGGGCCTTTATCATCGCAGTAGAACCCAAAACAATGATTGTTAAAACTTTTGTCTATTTGTCTGTGCGTTTGTGCGCGCTAATCTCAGAAACGGCTTAACCGATTCGGGTGTAACTTTCACAGCTGCATTGTACTTCACTTAATATTAATACTTAACATTTCGTTAGTTTTGTTAGTTTAATTTAAATCGGTTCATAAACAAAAAAGTTTGACAGCAGATCGCCGATTATCCGAACACCGATTAACCGAATCGCCAATTATACGAATCGGTTCTAAGCATAATATAAAAAATTAAAACCAAATAATTTTTGTTTTGTGTAGTTGTAACAAGTTTGCTATTTTTACGTGGTTTCTGGAGCAACAACAGATTTCAGGACCGATTTTTTTTTGAAAAGTCGCGAATGTTCCGTGAAAAAATGAGTGTAGCTGGTTTTAAGGCAAGCACTGGATGGATCCGCAATATCAAAAATAGGCACTTCATTCCGGAACAGGATATTGCTGGTGTTTGTTAAACTTAATAAAAGTATGTGTGACAGTTCGTTTTTCCTTGTTACCAGTTGATGTCCGATTATCCGAATGATCATAATTGTAAGTTTATTTAAAGGCAAAAAATCGGCCAAGTGCGAGTAGTACCTACATGCGGGTGAAGCCTCGGACAAAAAACCTAGTAAAAACTCACTTAACATTGCATTTTGAGTTTGAAACCAATTTAGATTGTATGTATAACTAAAAAAATTAACAGCAAATGTCCTCTTTTGTCATATTACTACATGTGCTTACTGTTACATATACGAGTTCAAAGGTTATATCAGTAAAAATAAAGGATTCTATGAAGACAACATCGTTCAAGTGAATGAACATTATCAACTAAAACGTGACCAAACACGGTATTTAACGCTAACCGGTCTTGCTCGCCGCCAATTTCAGACTCGTGATTGGAGCGATAACAGTTCCGTTGTCATTAAATTTCAGCACCGCCGTGACACCGCAGCCTGGAGAGCCCAGTAGTGGTGTAATATAGCCGTTGTCGTTTTAATTGCCCGTCAAAATTAACGACAACCGTTATCCGTTTCATAGTTTTGTATCAGTATTTGCGTTTGATTAATATCATTTTAAACTATTCTGGTTGCTATGTCTTTACAGAGTGTGTGAAGTTGAGTTACACTAAATTTTAATCAAATAGTGTTCACAGTGCAACTGGGTAAATGTTTTTATTGCTAGTCTCACATACGCACATGTATATGAGACATAATGCTGATATAAATTATTTAAACGTTATTCATTATTTCGACTAAGACTCGAGATCAATTTCAACATTTTATTTAATTAAAATATCTCAGTTAATTATGCTTTATCCATAACATATATACATCACACATGTTACTTCATGTTGTGTTAATAATATCAACATCAATGTTTCGTAACATGCGCCTGCTTTGTCACATATTTGTGTAAATTGGTTATTTACATTTTCAATCATGAAGTATTTATACTATACTTGTTTATTTCAACTCGTTTAAACTTTAATAGCATTTCAATTAACTATTAGCCTTTACAATATTAAGTGTTATATAAATTTAAATAATGATTTTCTATGTCTAGTTTTTTTTTGTTGTTAAATTTAAATTTTTAACTCGTCGTCATCTACGCGTCGCCGTAAACCCGTCACATATGTATTTTTTCCCATTTTAAATATAACAAAAGTGTTCTTTTCATTGTTGATCCCATACAAATTCATATTTTTACTTGTGTCTTGTTGGTTGAGGCATTATGCCGAAAGGGATAGAGCTATGGAACAAAATGCTTTTATCTACGGGAAATTTTTTTAATTTTTAATTTTTTTTTATCATAAATCGAATAATACTCGAGGTCTTTCGTCCCGGGTTGTATATGGCATTATGGACGTATAAAGTAAACGTACTTGGTTCCCAATAAAATTTTATAATTCACTTCGTTATTGTAATATAATAAAAAAATATGTTCCATTACTTAAAAAAAGAGCCGTGATAGCTCATTGCCCGGGCGCTCGCTTTTAATTCAATATCGAGTGTATAGTGTGTGAGCAACCTGAGTTCGATCCCGGAGCCGGCACCAATGTAATTGTTAATTTTAAGTGCTGACTTATCACGTGTGGTGAAGGAAAACATCGTAAGGAAACCTGCATATTTTCGAAATAATAACAAAAAAAATATTTCGAAGATATGTGAAATCCGACAATCCGCATTGGGGCCACGTGTTGGACTGTGCCCTGATACCCTCTGTACAGAAGGTATCAGGGCCAGGAGGCCTTTGCCCAGCAGTGGTACATTTATAGGCTGTTACTTTACTTTAAATAGTAACCTCACTTTCCATTAGAACGTGGAAGGAAAAATGAATCAATCGATTTTCTTTGGATACACCAAGAAAAGAAACACATTAAAATAAATTAAAATATAAAATTACAATGGGTAGCCCTATTAATTAGAGTAAGTTCTTACAGGCCTTTAGACGGGCAATATACATGATATTACAGGACGTGCGCATTTTTATTTATTACATAATAACTAAAGAAAAAAAAATCTAAATACCGTATTAAAAAAAAATAATGCAATGTGTAGTGATGCCAAAGTCGATACAACGATGGTCAATACGTGTGTAAACGGAATGAAAATTGATTTTCAGTGTGAAGGAGGCTAGAAGAGCCGCTGCCTCCGGTGAGGGCCCGCCGGTGCTGTATCTGAACGCTGGCGACACCTACACGGGAACAGCATGGTTCACAATCTACAAATGGAAAGTTGCCGCGGAATTCCTCAACGCGTTGAAACCCGACGCCGTTGTAAGTTTTAAAATATTATTTTTTCTTGTGTTCACGCCATTATTGAATAATATATTTCTACGGATCTTATCGTGGTCGGTTTATTTCAGTTTAATTTAGTTCACTTTTTATTCACGCTATTTTAGTTCTTCTGTTCTGAAACCCGATAAAATCCTTAAAAATATATTTATTTTACGGTAAGACACAGTTTGTGGCGTCCTATTCTGCGTTCTATGCAAAAAAGCTATGTTGTATTTGTCAAAATGCATGTACATACACAGAGAGCTGTCATCTTCAATACAACCAAGTGGTAGACCAAAAATATCTACCATCAGATACTAAAATGTATCATCAGCTCGATCGGTGTTATATAAAACACGTAGAATTATTCTGCCTTCATTAATTTAACTAAAGGAAATGTGTGTGAAATATTGTAGGTAGTAATTTCACCACAAAAAATGTACCTACGTATTCACTTATTGAACAAATGCGACCCAAAATAGAGATAAAGAACTTCCTGGTGGTGAATAATATGATAGGGCCAAGCAACACCTTTTGCTATTACACGAATGGGCAGGTCCGGTGAAGTACCATTACCTCACAGAATATCGGCGTGTAGTGGATAAATTATACTTTCGCGTTTCGTCTGGAAAGGTCCGGGGCCTGATTTTTAAAGCTTGGCAACGCATCTACTTGGCATAAAAACTTAAAAGTAAATGAAAGTTTTTTTTTTGTTATAGTTTTGTTCATTTTTTTTTACTTTAGCGGCTGAAAAAGTTTAATGTGAAAAATAGAGCTAATAGTTCTATTTAGGGTTCCGTAGGCAAAGGATAAAATCCCGTTAATCCCACTACTCGGTCTGTCTGTCTGTCTGCCCGTCTATCACTAGGCTGTATCTCATGAACCGTGATAGTTAGACAGTGGAAATTTTCACAGATGATGTATTTCTGTTGCCGCTATAACAACAATTACTAAAAACAGAATAAAAAATAGTAATTGGCTTTGGTTTTTTTTTCTTTTCGTTTGAGCTTCCTTTTCCTTGATCATTGTTTGTTTGCAACGTAGGTTCATGTTTGATGATAAAAAGATCAAATTGTTGTGAAATTGTACGTTTGTCTTTCATTCGTCGTCCTCTTGTGTTTGTGTACAAAACAATACTAGAGCAGCAAGATTTTTAAGATGACATTTCCTAAACTCTCTCACGTTAACCGTAATAGCCTAGAACGTGCCTACGTTACTCTCTAGTTAACAGTTATTTATAAATGTATTACGCTTGAAAAATGAATCCAACTAAAATATATCCCTGAACGAATTTTCACAACGCGTAAACAAGACTCAAATGCCAGATTGAATAAATGACGCCGCCCGACCAATTGCGGCATGATTTCCAATGCTGGAAAATTTTCCAGCGTTGACAGCTTTGTGGCGGACCTATCTATGTATGTGCGTTTAACATTACATACGGCGCATACATAGAGCTTTATGTACCATCGGAAAATCAATACTTGACAACTTGTTGCGTCACGTCGGCTTATGTAAACCGAAGCGAAGTGTACTGATGTAGCCGCCGTGGCGAGTGTTGCCGTAAAAATGCGATTCATCTTTTTGAAATAACGTTTTATAAGATTGTTATATCGTAGTGAAAATAGATTAGTCATCTTTGATTTTGATGGCATGATATAAGCGTGCGATGTGGTAATGAAATTCAGTTTTATATAAAACCTTTAACGGCTACTTTGCTTTAAAGTTTATAATTTTGTACTATGCGGTTTTATGATTTTGTACATATTTGCTTTATATTATTTGTAATTTATCATAAAAATTTTATGAGATTACAAACTGAAAATACAGACATTTTGGAATTATGCATTTTGATGTAGAGATAAAATATTTCTTGATGAAAATTTTCTAATAAAAGTAGCAGTAAAATTTGTTTCGATAATGTTATCAAATGTCAAATTAATCACCAAGATTGTCGTTGAGCGAGTATCGTAATGACGTAAGTTTACCTTATAAGATATTTTATTTTATATTTGTCGTAATTAACACATTTGTCTACTAACCAATGCATACTAACATCGCCGAGTTAATATGTTAAAAAAATGCCCTTTACAAAGTTTTTTATATTCCTGCTATCTGTTTTTAATCTATATACGAGCGCCATCGAACGATAACAGAGAATAGGATTAAATATTTACAACTTAAATAATTTAATTAATTATTAATGTTCTGAATTACAAAAGAACATACACATTTTGATTCCAATTAGCATCTAATATGTATATTGAATACAGTTAAAGAAATACTCTACAAGTAAATTCAGTCCGGATTCTAAATCTCACACTCCGATTTTTTTTAAATCATCGAAGTAAATGTAAATTACCGTCAAACTATTTAATATAATTTGGATGTCACAGTACATCTTCATTTTTGTTATTAAATCATTTTGTAAAGCATGTTGCGATCGACTTATTTACAATAAAAATTCCATCATTTTCCATAAGAAAACTGTTGAGTAAATATTTATATTTGCTTGTATAATATTTTATGTTGGATTGGGGGATTAGTGCTGGTTGTGTGGCATTTTCAATATTTTGTGTTGTTTACCAAATTTATATTATTTTAGACTTATCTAGCCCAAATTTTTCTATTTTTTAATTATATACAATTTACTTAACTTATTAAACGCTTTTTCTAACTATTATAGCTTGGTACAGTACATATACAGTATTAAAAAACCGAATAAGATATGCACTTAACTCTAATTTAATTTTTTCATTAATAATTTAGTTTACGCATGTTATATTTAATTTTTGCAAAAATATTTATAACTAAAAGCAAAATGAATTTGCAAACATAGATAGTAAGTAAAATAAAAAAAAAACTCTTTTTTTTCAGTCCCTTGGAAGCAACGAATTCGCACAAAGTTCAGCAAAACTTTCGCCGCTTGTAAATAATATAGAAAGCTCTATATTGGCCACTAATATTATTTTAAACTCTGAGGAAAAATACAAATTAAAAAAATCTTTAATTTTTGATGTAGAAGGAGTTAAGGTCGGTGTTATTGGATACCTTACGTTGGAAACAAACGTTATTGATTTTACGAGCTCAGTGGAGTACATAGACGAAGTATTAGCTTTGAGCGAAGAGGTGAAGAATTTGAAAGAGAAAAATATTGACATGATAATAGCTTTGGGTCACGCAAATGTAGATAAAGTTATAGAGATCGCAACGGAGGTTGACGGCATAGATTTAGTAATTAATGGCTACAAAAATGTTTACTTATGGAATGGAACCACCATTGAAGATTCTGGTATTGGAAACGAAAATCATTTAATAGTAAAACAGGCATCTGGTAAGACTGTACAAATAGTGCAGTCTCATTCATATAATAATTACTTGGGTAAGATAATCGTAAAATTTAACGACGGTTATAAAATAACTGAATTCCAAATAGGGCAAGTTTCTCTTGACCTCTCTATTCCTCAAGATTCAGAAGCCCTACAAGTTATTAAAACATACAGTGAAGATATTGAACGTATAAGACAGGAAGTAATCGGCAGCACAGCCGTAGTTCTTGATGGAGATTCCTGCAAGTGGGATGAATGTAATTTAGGTAACTTAATAACAGACTCCATTATGTACTATTACGCCGTAAGGTTTCAAGGTGAACGTTGGACAGACGCCCCAGTTGCTATAATTCAAAGCAGTGCAATCACGGCTTCAATTGCACCTGAAAAAAGACCGGCTGATGTAACAATGGGTAACCTTTTATCGGCCTTGCAAAGAGAAAGCAATTTAGTTACGGTTACTATGAACGGAACGGTTTTGACCCAAGTTCTAGAGCATTCCGTTGCTAACTATAGACGAACAAATCCATCGGGACAATTCCTACAGTATTCTGGAATACGGGTAACGTATGATTTAGCCAAAGAATCGGGTTCCAGACTAGTCGACGCAGTTGTAAGGTGTTGGTCATGTTCCGTTCCTGAATTCTACTCTATCGACGATTGGAGAGAATACACACTAATAATGCCACTTTCATTGGCTAATGGTGAGCAAGGTTTTTCAATGCTCGTCGGTCTTCCACGCCGGAATCTCGCCTATGATGAAGTCAGCTGTGCCCAAGCATACATTGCTCAACGAAGCCCGGTGTATCCCGAAGTATCAGGGCGAATTATTTTGTTAAACGTTGATTCAGTTCCAGATTCTGCAGCATCTTTAAATTCTTTATTCGCTTTAGTATTTGGTATATTGTCATTTATGATAGGCCATAATTTGATATATACTATGTGACTGGTGTGAGGTATAATAAAGACTTTAATTAAAATTTTGTTTATAGTGAGAATGTCTACACCTGACATTTAATTATACAGCTAATCACACTGATCTAAATCTGAAAATAAGAAAATTATAAGGTTAGCCTTATTTTGCACGTTTTAGACCAATAAATTTACTAGTAAACTTATGTATTTAGTTTTAAAATAATATATTTGATTAAAAATGTATAAAATAAACATTTTATAGCTGCTATATCGACTGCTATATCGACCTGCATAATATTTTAAATACAAATACAATCGATATAATTGAGAGGACAAAGATTGAGGCAATAAGATCAAAGTGAAAATAGCGAAGACATTCATTATTGAAGTTTATTCAGTAAATATAAACACGTAATTTGAAATGGATAGTAATCTATATTGTTATGGTGTATTTAACAATGTACGAACTAAACAAAAGCATTATCTCATTTTTTTCTCTCATTTATTTCTTTCATTTTTTTCAAAAACTGTATAATAGTAATACCTTGCTAATAAGTAAAAGCTCATTTCTTCCATTTTATTTCTTGAAGATACATTAATATAAAATATCCTTGCTTCCTTAGATATTAAAGAGGCGAAACGTAAACACTACGAAATAACCTTCCTTAAAATAATTCTCACACTTCTAATGCTACAATAATACCATCTAATAATTTATAAAATAATTGACGCAATTCTATAATTAATATTAATAAA